GGAAAAAATGAAATTCGCACATGCACTTTATCTCTTCTCCCCACACGGAGCGTAATCCCTTTTTCAACGAAGGAGATTTGCGATTTATTTCAAATGCACCACCACTTTGCCCCGCCTCATAACGTCCACTTTTCTTGTTTTCTCAGTCAGTTCAAGTCTTTGAAAGGCGTATAGCTGTAAATTGCAGTAATCCTGTTGTGTTTGGATACTCCACAAGTTCGACGCAAATTCATGAAGAAAGTCTCCCTTATGGGAATGATCACAGATGAATACGTTTATGTCCTGATAGGAATGCGTGGCACTGGATTTGGTACGTTCTGTAGCCACCAATGTTTCCGTATTTCTATATACAGCACACACACTCCAACTTGTTTTAGGGCAAGTGGCAAAAGGAATCGGTGAACGTGAGTACTTCGACATGCTAATGTTTTCCCTTTTGGGCTTCCGAGATAATAAGAGATGCTACCCTGGCTTCTCGAGCGGTCTCTATTTACCCTGAATGCCAAACTCTTCGAAAACTGGGCCCGGACCAGGGTCAACCGCACGTTGCGCAAAGAACAACGAGGGGGTCGTATTTGGCCGAACGAAAGGGTAGGGGTCGTAAAAATTTTGGAATTTGCGCAACGCAGGGTTGACCCTTGCCCGGACTACTACCGCCGAGCTACCCATTCATAGCTCCGTGCGGAGATTTATATAATACTATATATGGTAGTAAATTGAGTTCAGCGTTCAAGTACAATACATTCCGGGATAGGGCTTCTTTTGGAAGGCAATGGCGACCTGGGATCCTTTCCTTGCGAGCCGGATATTTATCGACATTTGCCCATGAATGTGGGTTTGGCTGGGAGTAATCGTGGGAGTAAACCCCTCCATAGAAGACGAATGTCACGTTCGTTTGGTCCGCAAACTCCTGACGCCCGGTTATAAGCGCCGGCGCCAAAAGACGCTAGAACACCATCGATCATGAAATTCCCTGGTAATTTGCCATAAGGACATAACAGACCAGAATATCACGTTAGGGACATACTCAACCTATATCACATTAGTTCGTTGTGCATGCTCTTGCAGCCTGCGCCACAGGCGCTGGCGCAGAACTGATGTGATGGCGCCTCTGGCGCAGACTTCAAACATTTTTGCGCGAATTGTACGCCTTGTTCGTGTTTTGCTCTTCGAATTACTCCCAAGGGCAACTTTC